GGAGAGGACTCTTTAAAGTAGAGACACTACATACTGATATACACCTGAACATCAGCAGGAGAGGACTCTTTAAAGTAGAGACACTACATACTGATATACACCTGAACATCAGCAGGAGAGGACTCTTTAAAGTAGAGACACTACATACTGATATACACCTGAACATCAGCAGAGAGGACTCTTTAAAGTAGATACACTACATACTGATATACACCTGAAACATCAGCAGGAGAGGACTCTTTAAAGTAGAGACACTACATACTGATATACACCTGAACATCAGCAGGAGAGGACTCTTTAAAGTAGAGACACTACATACTGATATACACCTGAACATCAGCAGGAGAGGACTCTTTAAAGTAGAGACACTACATACTGATATACACCTGAACATCAGCAGGAGAGGACTCTTTAAAGTAGAGACACTACATACTGATATACACCTGAACATCAGCAGGAGAGGACTCTTTAAAGTAGAGACACTACATACTGATATACACCTGAACATCAGCAGGAGAGGACTCTTTAAAGTAGAGACACTACATACTGATATACACCTGAACATCAGCAGGAGAGGACTCTATAAGTAGAGACACTACATACTGATATACACCTGAACATCAGCAGGAGAGGACTCTTTAAAGTAGAGACACTACATACTGATATACACCTGAACATCAGCAGGAGAGGACTCTTTAAAGTAGAGACACTACATACTGATATACACCTGAACATCAGCAGGAGAGGACTCTTTAAAGTAGAGACACTACATACTGATATACACCTGAACATCAGCAGGAGAGGACTCTTTAAAGTAGAGACACTACATACTGATATACACCTGAACATCAGCAGGAGAGGACTCTTTAAAGTAGAGACACTACATACTGATATACACCTGAACATCAGCAGGAGAGGACTCTTTAAAGTAGAGACACTACATACTGATATACACCTGAACATCAGCAGGAGAGGACTCTTTAAAGTAGAGACACTACATACTGATATACACCTGAACATCAGCAGGAGAGGACTCTTTAAAGTAGAGACACTACATACTGATATACACCTGAACATCAGCAGGAGAGGACTCTTTAAAGTAGAGACACTACATACTGATACACTGAACACAGCAGGAGAGGACTCTTTAAAGTAGAAGACACTACATACTGATCAGCAGGAGAGGACTCTTTAAAGTAGAGACACTACATACTGATATACACCTGAACATCAGCAGGAGAGGACTCTTTAAAGTAGAGACACTACATACTGATATACACCTGAACATCAGCAGGAGAGGACTCTTTAAAGTAGAGACACTACATACTGATATACACCTGAACATCAGCAGGAGAGGACTCTTTAAAGTAGAGACACTACATACTGATATACACCTGAACATCAGCAGGAGAGGACTCTTTAAAGTAGAGACACTACATACTGATATACACCTGAACATCAGCAGGAGAGGACTCTTTAAAGTAGAGACACTACATACTGATATACACCTGAACATCAGCAGGAGAGGACTCTTTAAAGTAGAGACACTACATACTGATATACACCTGAACATCAGCAGGAGAGGACTCTTTAAAGTAGAGACACTACATACTGATATACACCTGAACATCAGCAGGAGAGGACTCTTTAAAGTAGAGACACTACATACTGATATACACCTGAACATCAGCAGGAGAGGACTCTTTAAAGTAGAGACACTACATACTGATATACACCTGAACATCAGCAGGAGAGGACTCTTTAAAGTAGAGACACTACATACTGATATACACCTGAACATCAGCAGGAGAGGACTCTTTCAAGTAGAGACACTACATACTGATATACACCTGAACATCAGCAGGAGAGGACTCTTTAAAGTAGAGACACTACATACTGATATACACCTGAACATCAGCAGGAGAGGACTCTTTAAAGTAGAGACACTACATACTGATATACACCTGAACATCAGCAGGAGAGGACTCTTTAAAGTAGAGACACTACATACTGATATACACCTGAACATCAGCAGGAGAGGACTCTTTAAAGTAGAGACACTACATACTGATATACACTGAACATCAGCAGGAGAGGACTCTTTAAAGTAGAGACACTACATACTGATATCACCTGAACATCAGCAGGAGAGGACTCTTTAAAGTAGAGATCACTAGGATATGAACCTTAACATCAGCAGGAGAGGACTCTTTAAAGTAGAGACACTACATACTGATATACACCTGAACATCAGCAGGAGAGGACTCTTTAAAGTAGAGACACTACATACTGATATACACCTGAACATCAGCAGGAGAGGACTCTTTAAAGTAGAGACACTACATACTGATATACACCTGAACATCAGCAGGAGAGGACTCTTTAAAGTAGAGACACTACATACTGATATACACCTGAACATCAGCAGGAGAGGACTCTTTAAAGTAGAGACACTACATACTGATATACACCTGAACATCAGCAGGAGAGGACTCTTTAAAGTAGAGACACTACATACTGATATACACCTGAACATCAGCAGGAGAGGACTCTTTAAAGTAGAGACACTACATACTGATATACACCTGAACATCAGCAGGAGAGGACTCTTTAAAGTAGAGACACTACATACTGATATACACCTGAACATCAGCAGGAGAGGACTCTTTAAAGTAGAGACACTACATACTGATATACACCTGAACATCAGCAGGAGAGGACTCTTTAAAGTAGAGACACTACATACTGATATACACCTGAACATCAGCAGGAGAGGACTCTTTAAAGTAGAGACACTACATACTGATATACACCTGAACATCAGCAGGAGAGGACTCTTTAAAGTAGAGACACTACATACTGATATACACCTGAACATCAGCAGGAGAGGACTCTTTAAAGTAGAGACACTACATACTGATATACACCTGAACATCAGCAGGAGAGGACTCTTTAAAGTAGAGACACTACATACTGATATACACCTGAACATCAGCAGGAGAGGACTCTTTAAAGTAGAGACACTACATACTGATATACACCTGAACATCAGCAGGAGAGGACTCTTAAAGTAGAGACACTACATACTGATATACACCTGAACATCAGCAGGAGAGGACTCTTTAAAGTAGAGACACTACATACTGATATACACCTGAACATCAGCAGGAGAGGACTCTTTAAAGTAGAGACACTACATACTGATATACATCTGAACATCAGCAGGAGAGGACTCTTTAAAGTAGAGACACTACATACTGATATACACCTGAACATCAGCAGGAGAGGACTCTTAAAGTAGAGACACTACATACTGATATACACCTGAACATCAGCAGGAGAGGACTCTTTAAAGTAGAGACACTACATACTGATATACACCTGAACATCAGCAGGAGAGGACTCTTTAAAGTAGAGACACTACATACTGATATGAACCTTAACATCAGCAGGAGAGGACTCTTTAAAGTAGAGACACTACATACTGATATACACCTGAACATCAGCAGGAGAGGACTCTTTAAAGTAGAGACACTACATACTGATATACACCTGAACATCAGCAGGAGAGGACTCTTTAAAGTAGAGACACTACATACTGATATACACCCTGAACATCAGTAGGAGAGGACTCTTTAAAGTAGATACACTACATACTGAATATACACCTGAGCATCAGCATGAGAGGACTCTTTAAAGTAGAGACACTACATACTGATATACACCTGAGCATCAGCAGGAGAGGACTCTTTAAAGTAGAGACACTACATACTGATATACACCTGAACATCAGCATAATAGGGCCCCTTTAAGTGCATTATGTAAAACAACAAATCAATGAAACCTTAAAAAACAAGAAACCAAGATTTTAAAAAAAGAAATGTGCGATCCCTATTTAGTCCCACATTTGCAGTTCATTATTTGGCATCCTTTGTGGTTGTCCTTTAACGGCAATCCAGCTGTGATGGTGAGGTAAGGTCAGTGTGCCTCAGCCTGTTATTTCATTCATAACTTCAGAGGAATTCCTCCTTATCCCACACGGTTTAATGGGCTCTGTTCTAACCATCGACTGCAGCTCATTTCCTCCAGCCATAGAGAGAACATGTGAATGATGTCATTCTGAACAAGGAATCAAATAACCTGCCGAACCCTGTGAAAGGTTTATGAGCTGCAAAGACTGGCCATGCTCTCATGAAATGTGACACACACACACACACACACACACACACACACACACACACACACACACACACACACACACACACACACACACACACACACACACACACACACACACACACACACACACACACACACACACACACACACACACACACACACAGTCTCTGAGAATGCATGACGGATGCCTTTACTTGGGAGGAAAATGTGGATGAGATGTAATTATTTGCATGGGGGACATATTCGAGCCTGTTAATTAAAACAGGAAACTTTTAAGGGCCTTGCTCCTCTGAATTGAATTTAGACCCTAGGTAATGACTGTGAGAAATACTCACTTACTCACTTCTGGATCAATTACTGCTGCAGTATACCTTTAGGAAATACATAGTAATATATAAGGGTGTTTAAAATGGAGTGCAGTTTGGCAGAGTTTGGTCGCTACTTTGTTCAGATGATAATCAGAAACAGGTTTATTACCAGGTAGGTTGACACGTACGAGGAATTTGACATACTTAAAAGTTAAACTAAAATTAAAAACCCAGATGGAAAACTATTTGAAGAAAACTATAATTACATTAAAAAATATAGCAGTATTTACATTGAAATCAGCAGCAGGAAACCAATGGACTACTTTCTAGTCCGAGTAGGGAATGAGTCTTTATCTCAAGTGAAGGAGTTCAAGAATTTCGGGGTCTTGATCTCGATAAAGGAGATAAAGGGAACTTAAGATTGCCTGGAGAATCGGAGCAGCAGGTTCAAGATCTTGATTGAAAAGACCATTTTGATCACTGTCATAGTTCTATTTTGATATTTGTATGCCCATGACAGCCAAGGCCAAAGGTGTTATTCTGTCAGTTTTTCTCATACCAACACCTGAAGGTATCTCTTAGGCATTTGGCACAAACTTTCACTTGGACTCAAGGATAAACTGATTTGTTTTTGGGGTTTGAATGTCTCTGTAAACTCATACGTCTCAGTCTTTTGAGTGTGGTATCTCATGAATGCATTAAGGTGATTTCTCCAGATTTGGCACAAACGAACACGTGGACCCATGCTGATTGGATTTTGTTGGAAAGGACAAATGTCTAGGAACTCATAAAATACGTTCTTCTATATAACTCAAAATTGCAGACACTAATAATGACAATGAAACACAAATGTCTTATATGATAAAATGATCCAGGGTTGACAATTGAGTTGAGTTCTATACATGCACTACGACCAAAGCCCTGCCGTTGCTTGTTGTTCAAGGCTTTTATTAGTCATACGTCCATAGCTACAGTGTAGTTATGACGATGGAAATCTTAGGTTATAGGCTCCTCCAACAGTGCAACTCTATAACATAGAAAAACAGATAACATAATAAGTAAATACAAAAAGAAAAATAGTGAATAGTTGCACCATTACAATAATTATATAGGTGCAAAAGCGTATATAATTGATTTCAACAGTACTGGTGGCAGTGATAGGGGCTGGGATAAGCACACACACACACACACACACACACACACACACACACACACACACACACACACACACACACACACACACACACACACACACACACACACCACACACACACACACACGTACAAAAACATTGACCGTGTAGCCATGCACACGCTGTTGTTGGTTGTAAAACAAATGGTATATCAAGCAAAATAACGTTGTCGTCATTAATAGCGCACACGTCCAGCTAGATTACCCAGTTTAGCCACCCCTCTGTGATATGAAGTGGCAACAGTCCCCACACATGTGTTACTTGTGGTTGTTCGTAATGATAACAGCTCACTTAAACACTCTGAAGTAACTGGTAAGGAGGAGTAGATGCATTTTTGTGTCGTTGAATCAGTTCATGAGGTAAGTGTTCGGGATATTTTTCCCTCCTCTCACTCCTTCCAGACTCTGAAGGCACGTTCCCCAGAGAGGCCTTCGCCATCGGTGCCACAGATGAGACTGCCAACGGAGTGGAGGAGCAGAAAGATGTAGACGAGTGTCTGCTCCACGCGGGGAAACTGTGCCAGCAAACATGCACCAACACCTGGGGATCCTTCCACTGTGGCTGTCATCAGGGATTCATCCTGCAGGGGGACGGAAGACTCTGTGCTCCAGGTGAGCTATTGTAACTCAACATGCTCATTTCAGGTTCATATTTCTATTTAGTGTCCCTACTGGGACATGTCTCCATGCTTTACAGGTCTCCTATCATGCAAAATGCACTTTTTGATGTCTTTTATACATAGATATGTGTCCCCGGTGTGTCAGGGAACTCACAAAGTGTCCGGAAATAAAACCCTCTCTCTTTTCCTCCGTACCCAAATCTCTAAAAATGGGGGAACAACGGAGCTGATGCAGATTTGCATCCGATATGACGTAATATCTGAAATGTGGGCTGGCTTTACACCCACGGCCCTATCAGAAACAATGCCCGACGTGTTTTGGACGTAAAATAGTCTGTGTTTACATTAGCAAGCATCGCTAACACTCAGAGCTAACCTGTACTGGAGAGAGTATGTGTAAAGAAGCAGGAAATAAAAAAAGGAACTCACCTTGTGGTAAACCTGAGAGAGAAAACGCATTTGAGCTCCATACGGTTTCAGAAATAATCCTTGATGTGGTTTGGAACATGATATGGCGTTTAATCACGGCAGCATTTAGCTGAGAATCTGGGTAGAATTCTCCTGCACAAGCTCCCCCCTCTTTTTTCCTTTTTCAAGCTAAGGACCCCGAATCAGCGCTTCTCTAACAGGGCTGAAATAGAGGGATATGAGGGATGTCTACAAATGCATGATCTGTTTGGTATTTTGAGCAAAACACATCATAGACATGTTTTTGATATATTTGAATATATCTGACACCCATAATATATGCCTAAAAATAGCATGATAGGAGACCTTTAATGTTCAAAAGGTTTTTATTTTTCTCATACTGCATCACCTCTTTTCACCCTCTGTCTGAAACCAGAGCCCAGTTTTCTCTGTTTAGCTGGCTGGCTCTATTTTGATTGGTCAACCGCTCAGAGATGTCCCGCCCCTTAGCCTTAGTGCTACATAAACCTACACTACCTTTCTTCCTGTTTCCATGTGCAGTGAGTCCTGATGAGGAGAACAGAGTGAAGGATTTCCGTCCTGCTAACATCCCAACAATAACTCCTGCTTCCACGACAGCCATGATCTCCTCCAGAACCACCACCAGCAGACCTGTGCGCATCCATCCATGCTCAGGTAACCCCAACTTCACAATACACAAGCATTTCAGCATCTGTACATTATAATACAAATGCACATTCAATTATATTTGAGGCATACTGCTTCAGGGCAAAGTGATTTATTCTGTACAGCAAGATGATGGGCATCCTTAGCTTGCTATGCAACAGAGTTCTTCAATCAATCAATCAATCAATTGTATGTGTCAACCCGTCAGCCAATCAGTGATGCAACCAGTAAATAAATCAACCAACCAATCAATCAATCAATCAATCACTCACTCAACCAACAAATGTATCAGTCAATCAACAAATATATCAACCAGTCAACCAATTAATCCACTAATCAATTAACCAATCAATGAGTCAATCAACTAATCAATCAATGAGTCAATATGTCAATTAATCTATTAGTCAATCAATCAGTCAACCGTCAATCAACCAATACATCAACCAGTCAACTAATCAAACCACCAATCAATTAGTCAATATATCAATTAATATATACATCAACTAATCAAACCATCAATCAATCAACTAGTCAATTAACCAATCAATGACTCAATCAACTAATCTACCAATCAACCATCAATGATATTGTTATATCAAATCCTGATATCCCATGTGTATCTGGCATGGAGGTAATGCAGCGTACAAATGCAAGAACTAAATGACAAAAGGGAAAATGTAATGTTTAAAAAACACCTTTGCCAAATCAAATAACAATCCTTTCTGTTCCTGCTGTGAGGCTTTTCATCATGGATCCCTCCCTTTCATAATGGATCCCTCCCTTTCATCATGGATCCCTCCCTTTCATAATGGATCCCTCCCTTTCATAATGGATCCCTCCCTTTCATAATGGATCCCTCCCTTTCATCATGGATCCCTCCCTTTCATAATGGATCCCTCCCTTTCATCATGGATCCCTCCCTTTCATCATGGATCCCTCCCTTTCATCATGGATCCCTCCCTTTCATCATGGATCCCTCCCTTTCATCATGGATCCCTCCCTTTCATCATGGATCCCTCCCTTTCATCATGGATCCCTCCCTTTCATCATGGATCCCCCCCTTTCATAATGGATCCCTCCCTTTCATCATGGATCCCTCCCTTTCATCATGGATCCCTCCCTTTCATAATGGATCCCTCCCTTTCATAATGGATCCCTCCCTTTCATAATGGATCCCTCCCTTTCATCATGGATCCCTCCCTTTCATAATGGATCCCTCCCTTTCATAATGGATCCCTCCCTTTCATCATGGATCCCTCCCTTTCATCATGGATCCCTCCCTTTCTTCATCATGGATCCCTCCCTTTCATCATGGATCCCTCCCTTTCATCATGGATCCCTCCCTTTCATCATGGATCCCTCCCTTTCATCATGGATCCCTCCCTTTCATCATGGATCCCTCCCTTTCATCATGGATCCCTCCCTTTCATCATGGATCCCTCCCTTTCATCATGGATCCCTCCCTTTCATCATGGATCCCTCCCTTTCATAATGGATCCCTCCCTTTCATCATGGATCCCTCCCTTTCATCATGGATCCCTCCCTTTCATCATGGATCCCTCCCTTTCATCATGGATCCCTCCCTTTCATCATGGATCCCTCCCTTTCATCATGGATCCCTCCCTTTCATCATGGATCCCTCCCTTTCATCATGGATCCCTCCCTTTCATCATGGATCCCTCCCTTTCATCATGGATCCCTCCCTTTCATCATGGATCCCTCCCTTTCATCATGGATCCCTCCCTTTCATCATGGATCCCTCCCTTTCATCATGGATCCCTCCCTTCATAATGGATCCTCCCTTTCATCATGGATCCCTCCCTTTCATAATGGATCCCTCCCTTTCATCATGGATCCCTCCCTTTCATCATGATCCCCTCCCTTTCATCATGGATCCCTCCCTTTCATCATGGATCCCTCCCTTTCATCATGGATCCCTCCCTTTCATCATGGATCCCTCCCTTTCATCATGGATCCCTCCCTTTCATCATGGATCCCTCCCTTTCATCATAGGATCCCTCCCTTTCATAATGGATCCCTCCCTTTCATCATGGATCCCTCCCTTTCATAATGGATCCCTCCCTTTCATCATGGATCCCTCCCTTTCATAATGGATCCCTCCCTTTCATAATGGATCCCTCCCTTTCATCATGGATCCCTCCCTTTCATAATGGATCCCTCCCTTTCATAATGGATCCCTCCCTTTCATCATGGATCCCTCCCTTTCATCATGGATCCCTCCCTTTCATCATGGATCCCTCCCTTTCATCATGGATCCTCCCTTTCATCATGGATCCCTCCCTTTCATCATGGATCCCTCCCTTTCATCATGGATCCCTCCCTTTCATCATGGATCCCTCCCTTTCATCATGGATCCCTCCCTTTCATCATGGATCCCTCCCTCGGCTAAAGTGTTGTGTTGCAGCTTGATGTGAAATGGTTGTTTTGAACTTTGAAGAGTGGTAATTAGACAGGGAAGTCTCCAGCCCAGGAAGTACTGCATGAAGCAAGGCCTGGATCCTTCAGTGTCTCTCATTGTTAGTTATAAGAATATCCTAATCACAGTATCCAGGGGATTTGTGGCCTATGCCTCTGTGCAGCGAGACTTTCATGCTGTCAGATTGCGAGAGTTAATTTGGTTTGTGTTGAATTCAATGGCTCGTGAATGGCTCCTTGTTTCAGAGAGTTATGATCAGTGTGAAGGTAGGAGCCTCAGGGAGCAAAACAACACTGCAATGCATCACAAGTGAGCAGAGAAACAGCTCATGGAGGAGAAGTCTAAGACATTATGAGTGATTGAGTCCTGGAGGCGTATGTGAGGAATCCTCCATCTGGAATGCACTTCTTTCTTCAAGTCTTCATTACAAACTCACCTGTTCACCATGGCCTTTGACCCCTAACCCATCACAGTCCCCCTGCTTCCACTCCTACTGCTATTTATTATCTTACTTTATTATTTGCCCCTCTTGTTTGTTTGTTCTCCATTGTTACGTTCCCTTCTAAATCTAGGGGGTACAAAGGGAAGTAACAACACACAAGGATGACCAAGCACGACAAAAAAGGAGAGAAAACCGATCTCTGAGTAACGAACAAGTCGTTTAATGAACACGACAGGAACACGGGCTCACCAGCCAACTTGCACAGAATACTAAAGGATCGATATATCACGGAGCTCACCTCCTATCAATCGGCAAGACACAGGTCTGCACACATGCAGCCAGAGGAGGAAAAAAGGAGAGCGACTGCAGCTTCTCTCAGGTCCTTTATGGAGGCCCTGATTGGTGATTGGGAGCACCTGGAGGAGAAGCTGCACCTGGAGACAATATAGAGGGAGAGAGAGAAAGACACACACACACCAGCACCCACTACGGCACGTAACATCCATGTAAAGCGTACCTTTGAAAGGCACTATACAAATATATTGTATTTGTTGGGAAAATACTGAATGTGCTCTTCCAATGAGAGTAACATGATAACAAAGGAATCCCAACTGTAGCTGTGAACATGACAGGATGTGTGATTACCTAGAAGAGCATCAGGACTGTTTGAGGCATATGATAGCTCTGTGATTAACATGATGATTCAGCCTCTATGGAGAGAGACATCAAGCATGCTCATTTCTGACGTGGAGCTAATCTGAAGTAAACATTGAATACTGCTTTCTATTCCTCCATCTTGTGACTGTGTAACTCCCTCTCTTGGATATCAGCATGTGAAGGACACTGTTCAGGAACTAGTTGATGCTCTGTATGTGATGACTCCTTCTAGATTTTGAGAAAAAGTCAAAACATTTGAGAAAAAGTCAGAATTCTGAGAAAAAGTAAAAAAAATTAAGAAAGTCAGTTTTTTGAGATTAAGAAAAAGTAAGAATTTTAAGAAAAAGTCAGAATTTTGAGAAAAAGTCAATTTTTTAAGAAAAAAATCTAGATTTTTAGAAAAAAGCCAAGACTTTGTGAAACAACCTGTCATGTACAATTTTGTACATGACAGGTTGTATGATTACCTAGAAGTCCCGGTATTCCTCCATCTTGTGACTGTGTAACTCCCTCTCTTGGATATCAGCATGTGAAGGACACTGTTCAGGAACTACTTGATGCTCTGTATGTGATGACTCCTTCCATTCTGGAGAGGATCACAGATACATGGATCCTGAGGTTGAAGCTCAAGCCGGTGACCAGTGATATTTTTATATTTATTTATATAACACTATTATTATTATGGTGGTGATCATGCTGCTTGTGTGTTGCAGAAAATGGAGGTTGCAGTCAGCAGTGTTTAGCAGTTGCAGAGCGGGCTCTCTGCTCCTGCTTCCCTGGGTTCAGACTGAAGATAGATGGAAGAAAGTGTGAAGGTAAGAGCTGCTTTACTCTCGTTGTGAATCGCTGGCTAATGGAGCTTGAATGAATCTCATAAGCTTTCTCTGCCAGGCAGGGGTTTTGCACATGGTTACAAACAACATAACTCATCAACAATACCTTTCACCGCTGTATAACAAGAACAACAGTGCAGTTGTTGGACACATTTTAATTGGATGCAGTCACCGATGCTGGAGAAACATGCTGATTTTGTGATACTAAACAATACACAACCATAATGAACCACTTCCTGGTGGTTGAGCACGTTTCCTCTAGCATTATTCAACCATAGCCAATTACTCTTTGGCAGCTACAGCTGGAGTAACAAACACGACACACACTCTGTGGAAACTTGGTACACAGGTGGCCTCTCTGACAGGTGAGACTGCAGTTTGTTGTAGATCAATGACAAAAACAAAGCATGTGCTCACTGGTGAAGAAACACCGGGTCGCGTAATGTTTTCTAATAAGTACCACATTTCCTATGTATATTATTGCGTCTGTCAGGAGTCCAAAAAAGCTGCTAATCACGGAAAGAAGGATTCTCACAACTAAAGAAGCTCCACTCCTTGCATTCGTTTAAAGGTCCCATGTCATGCTTTTCTGGGTATCACCCGTCCCCTTGTTGTTATGAAGGTTTTTCTGCATGCGAACGGTCTGCAGAGTCAAAACCCTCAAAGTACACCCTGTAGTGAGTAAAACTCTAACACAGAGAAGACCTGTCTGTGCTGCCCCTGAACGCCTCGTTGGACATTTCTCTTGTTCCATTGTTTGCTTCCTGGGTTCTGTGACGTGTGAACACCCAGATCAACTACAAATGACCGGATTGGCCCAAATGGACCAATCCTTGGAGCCCCTCACACACCAGGACCCCTTGGCTAACTAACAGGGAGTCCCATTGACTTGCATAGAGCTCCCTGAATGCTGGTAATAGACGAGTTGGGATGGCGGAGAAATGCTATCCGCAGACCCATTGACTCACAGCGTTATAAACCTCTTTCTCAATATCAAGCCACACTTATTGTTTTTACTTCGGCTGTGAGTGTGTGTGTGCTCAGGATGAGTTTGGCTTGTTCTCGCTGTATCGTCGACCCGGAAACCTGTCCGCTCCTCGCAGCAACGAGCCTCGCAACGTCCCGACCAATCAGAGCACAGTGGGCTCACAGGGAGGGGGGGGGGCAGGAGCTCCAACAGGCCGTGTAGGACAGAGAGTGAATACACAGACTTTACAGAGATGCTGTTTGAGAAACCAATGTGAGTTTGGAACATTGAACAATGTACATATATTCTAGTAGACCTCAACGATGGAACTATGTTCAGTAGAAATGGCCATGACATGGGACCTTTAACCATTTATTCCATAAAAACAAGTACAAAAATACAATACAATCCAGTACCAATAACCGTTGCAATAGAAGTGTTATTGTGATGGAAATTGCGGTGACGATTGAAGTGGAAAAGTTGCTGTCAAAATAAATCTTTACTTCACGACTCACCCCTTCTCTCTGTGTCCATGTAAAAAAAAACAACAAGTGAGCAGGTGAGAGCAGTCAGGTGACAAACTACAAATGAGATAGAGTTCAGCCAGTATATCAAGCATTGACCGTCAATGAGCCGCGGTCCCAACAGTTCTGAAATAAATCCTACCTTTTTGAAAGTGAGTTTTTGTTGGAGTTGATTGAACTTGATGTTCAGTTTGGAGGCTGTGGTTTCGCCTCGTGCTGAGAGGTATTTCCAGTCTTTAGTCTACCTGCCCTCAATGATGTTAACTGTTGATTGTCCAAATGTAATATTGCTGTACAAGAAAGCTTGCTGCTGTAGATAATAATGATAATAGATGTATTTTGTTAGCGCTTTTACAGGTGCTCAAAGTCGCTTTACAGAGATAGTGAAAAGAAAAGAAAAGAAAGGAACAACAAATAAATATATAGTTAAAGTCAAATAATACAAAAATAATCACACATTAAAAGCCAGGTTGAAGAGGTGAGTGTTTTGAAGGTGGGGGGGTCAGTGCAGTCTCTGATGGGTTGGGGGGAGTGAGTTCCAGAGGGAGGGGGCAGCGACGGAGAAGGCTCTGTCCCCCCAGGTCCGGTGATTGATGTGGGTGGGGATGGATAGGAGGTTGGCTTCTGATGAGCGGAGGCAGCGGGAAGGGGCGTGGTGGTGCAGCAGGTCTGTGAGGTAGGGGGAAGGGGTGTGGTGGTGCAGCAGGTCTGTGAGGTAGGGGGAAGGGGTGTGGTGGTGCAGCAGGTCTGTGAGGTGGGTGGAAGGGGTGTGGTGGTGCAGCAGGTCTGTGAGGTAGGGGGAAGGGGTGTGGTGGTGCAACAGGTCTGTGAGGTAGGGGGGAAGGGGTGTGGTGGTGCAGCAGGTCTGTGAGGTAGGGGGAAGGGGGGTGGGTGGGTGCAGCAGGTCTGTGAGGTGGGTGGAAGGGGTGGTGGTAGTGCAAGCAGGTCTGTGAGGTAGAGGGGAAGGGGTGTGGTGGTGCAGCAGGTCTGTGAGGTGGTGGAAGGGGTGTGGTAGTGCAGCAGGTCTGTGAGGTAGAGGGGAAGGGGTGTGGTGGTGCAGCAGGTCTGTGAGGTAGAGGGGAAGGGGTGTGGTGGTGCAGCAGGTCTGTGAGGTGGGTGGAAGGGGTGTGGTGGTGCAGCAGGTCTGTGAGGTAGAGGGGAAGGGGTGTGGTGGTGCAGCAGGTCTGTGAGGGTGGGTGGAAGGGGTGTGGTGGTGCAGCAGGTCTGTGAGGTAGAGGGGAAGGGGTGTGGTGGTGCAGCAGGTCTGTGAGGTAGGGGGGAAGGGGTGTGGTGGTGCAGCAGGTCTGTGAGGCAGGGGGGAAGGGGTGTGGTGGTGCAGCAGGTCTGTGAGGTAGGGGGGAAGGGTGTGGTGGTGCAGGCAGGTCTGTGAGGCAGGGGGGAAGGGGTTGTGGTGGTGCAGCAGGTCTGTGAGGTTAGGGGGGAAGGGGTGTGGTGGTGCAGCAGGTCTGTGAGGGCAGGAGGGGGGAAAGGGTGTGGTGGTGCACAGCAGGTCTGTGAGGTAGAGGGGAAGGGTGTGGTGGTGGGCAGCAGGTCTGTGAGGTAGGGGGGAAGGGGTGTGGTGGTGCAGCAGGTCTGTGAGGCAGGGGGGAAGGGGTGTTGGTGCATGGGTCGCATCTGTGAGGTAGGGGGGAAGGGGTGTGGTGGTGCAGCAGGTCTGTGGGCAGGGGGAAGGGGTGTGGTGGTGCAGCAGGTCTGTGAGGCAGGGGGAAGGGGTGTTGGTGCAGCAGGTCGTGAGGTAAGGGGGGAAGGGGTGTGGTGGTGCAGCAGGTCTGTGAGGCAGGGGGAAGGGGTGTGGTGGTGCAGCAGGTCTGTGAGGTAGGGGGAAGGGGTGTGTGGTGCAACAGGTCTGTGAGGCAGGGGGAGGGTGTGGTGGTGCAGCAGGGTCGTGAGGTAGGGTGGGGCCTGGTTGTCGAGGGCTTTGTGAGTAATCAGGAGGACTTTGAAGTCGATTATTTGATGGACGGGGAGCCAGTGGAGGTTCTGGAGGACGGGAGTGATGTGGTCTCGGGAGGGGGTGTGGGTGAGGAGGCGGGCAGCAGAGTTCTGGATATGTTTATTGTTTATTGAGGAGGTTGGATGGTATGCCGTAGTAGAGGATGCTAGTCGAGTTGTGGTTTCAGCAGCAGAGGAGGAGAGCGATGGGCGGAAACGGGCAATGTTTTTGAGGTGGAAAAAGGCGGTCCTGGTGATGTGATTTATGTGGTGATTGAATTTGAGCTGACTGTCGAAGATGACTCCGAGGTTGCGGATGTGAGGGGGGGGGGTAGAGTGTTGCCGTCAAGGGTGAAGTTGAAATTCTGGATGGTTTTGGTACGGAATGGGGGGCCGATGATGATGTCTGATTTGACACTATTCAGTTGGAGATAGTTTGTTTGCATCCATGCTTTTATTTCTGATTCTAGATGGTTGATTCATCAATGAATTTGCAAAACAGCAAATACTTCTGGAGTTTAGTACACACTATGTTGCTCCTTCATACACCACATGTACAGTGCTTCTAAATGTCCAGAATTAGTGATATTAACAGTTTAAGAATTCCTTTTCTCAGATCATGAGCTGCTTAAATACGGGCCGGCATGAAAAACTTCTCATACACTGAGAGTTCAGTCCTTCCCTGCCCTGTTTATTTAATCCGTCTGGCAGTCGCCTCTGGATGCATAAGAACTACATAAGAGTTCATGTTTCCCCTCTGGTTTTCTTCCATTCAGTGAGCAGAGGGAGGACTCAAAGTGTTCCCACATGTGGAGAGGTGGGTGGTCATTTTTAGGTTTGGACTGGAACGAAACAGAGCAAATAGCACTGCCTACCAATTGAGATAGAGACAGGTTCACATGACAAGGATGGAGAGATGGGCGAACAGAAGTGTAAAGTTCTCTGGTGGAAATTCCATACTTAATCACCTTCTGGTAAGAAATTAACAGATACAAGTTTAAACCAAAGTTGTGTTGTTTAATAAAGAGTTATAGTATTTAACAGAATCAATCTATTTCCAGCTGGAAGGACAGATAACCTGCACACTGATGTGATACAAGAATCTGTCCGTGTTACAACAGACAAACAAGCACTTTATAGAGGAAAAAGACAAAAGGGGGGAGGTCTCAGCTAGAAGTTACATTACAGGCCATTGAAATGTTGGCCAGACGGGCGAAACTTGCATACATGGTCATTACAAACCTAAGATCCATATGATAATTGCCTGACAATGGTCAACCCTTCTGTCTGAGAACATTTAGTAGCTAGACGTGAATTTAAACTGTTAGAAAATAATGTTACATTATATATAATTAAATGAGACTTATGAGACATTTCTACAATAATCTCCATTTTGAGTTCATCCTCAGGGACCGAGTCAGGGGAGGTAAAGAGCTTGAGGAACTGCAAATAAAATGGCCACCATAGCAGATGGAGAAGGTGTTTTTCCGCACCATTGGCAAAACACAAACATTGGAAAAAAGTACTTTCCGTCCCAA